ACCTACTGTATTTGGATTGCACCAAGAGAAATCACTGGAAAAACACCAAGATTAGAACATCCATTAACACACAGAATAAACCCACAGGTACACAGCCGCTAAGTAGTAAACAAAAGACCACATGTTGGTCTCACCTCTGACCCAGGTGATTACGCCCTCAAACAGGGAGCACCTGAGAAAAATAATATTTAAAAAATTTCATACACCCTCTATTGTGAAAAGCTGACATTTTGTTGTGGAACTATTAGGACAGACGAAATCGTGTTTGCGTGGAATTTAGTGACTGGCAGAAATCTTTTACGAAGGTTGTGGTTATGTGGACCGAACGCAGAGGTTGCAGTCTGCTGTTGCCATTGTGTTGAACAAAACCGTGGTTGAACCTAGCTGCAGTTCTGTAGCTCACTTGGTTTTGTGTTAACACCACGACGAACTAAATAACCGACAACGAAACTGCAGCTAGTTTCAACCACGGTTCCATCCTTTGCGAGTTACCCTATTTAACCGAACTGGAATTAGGTCGGGTCGTAACAGTTGTTTTTTTTTCATTATTTTGGCCTTAAGTTTCTACCTTTCTACTGTCGATGGGTCCCGAAACTATTCCATCAATTATTTCGAGGGCGATGGTCTGAAATTGGTCGATTTCAAGACGAAAACCGCAAAAAACTACAGCGAAATCCCCAGGTTTGCCGCCATCTTGAATACTTGATGTGTATGTACCTTGTGTTAACATCTACTAGATTTGTTCATTCCATGGCCATATCTTTAGTTCTCTAATTTTGGCAAATATTTTTGTCATTTTTGGTTAAAAATGGAATTTCAAATAACCACTATTTCCAATGCTTTGGAGGTGTTAGGCATACATGTGTTTATTATTCCATTGACAACTTTGTGTGGTTGTTTGGCGATATTTCATTTAAAAGTACAAATTTAAATGAAAAGTTGTGGCATTACAGCACTAATCGTTTGTACAATAGCCGTTGAGCAACAGGCCATTGTCCTATTTTTATAAAGTACACCCTCTACGGTGAAAAGGTAACACACCATGAATGATTATCTCACCTTTAGATGTTCTAACCATGAATACATAAGAGTACACAATACATAGGGATCTTCCTCTGTAGATAAGATATTCCAACTAGCATTACTGACATTCAAATCATTCTGCAATGGAACAATTACTAAGTTACTCTTGTGTAAATTTTAAGGGAGTGGCCCGTGTAAAAGTACAACACTATATTGTATTATCTAACAATGTAACAATAAATTACAACAATGTAACAATTCATCAGATCAATGAATTTTGTAATATACAAGGTATGTACATACACATAGCAGTAAATGGAAAGTCAGTGTGGATAGACCAAATTAGTTTTCAATATAGTTTGGTTCAGTTTTTTTTTCAAAAAAAAAGTGCAAGAGTGACTGCATTTTGCATGTGTACATGCAGGAACTGTTCTATCAAATGACTGCACATACATGTACTATATATGTATGACACTAATGTGATTGCCATTATATCACAGTATATTGATTAAAATAAAGGTTGAGAGACAATGAATACTACATCACAGAGATTAATTAACATTTAAAGGATTACTGGCTACAAGAAGCTAATGCAGAAACCTACTTGCAGTGATTCCAATCGCTGTTTCAAAGCCTGCAAAATGGCATGGAAGAACTACATTAGGAAGAGTTGACAGTTGCAGAAAGAGTTATACAGATGTATGACAGGTATTGTAGTATATTAATCAATTAGACATCAATACAGTGCAAGGCGGGACAACAGAATGGAGACAGAATAACCACAAGAGGAACTTTATGTGTATAAGATAAATAGTCAAAACAACGCAAAAATAGTCAAAAAAGTGAAACAAAAAAGGCCTTCAATCAATCTATTATGAATAAATATTGTATTGTGAAAAGACAAAAGAAATTCACCTGAAAAGCATCTACTCTGGCCTTTTCATGTAGATCGGCCTTTGCATCAATTACAAATGCCATGGCCTTAGCAACGATAAAAACATCCTGATTATCTTCTTCAACATCCATGCTTTCACTAAGTTGACTCAGAATAGAACTACGCCGCGGAAATGGTCCACGAGATAGACGACTTCGGATTGGTCTTTTGTTTTTACCAGATATGACCCCAGCATCAATTGACATGGCAGTACTCATAATGCTGTCACGACTTGCTTGGGATTGTAAGTTTCTGGGTAAGCTTTTTAAAGGATATATATCGCTTCTAGTCATCACAAGGTCATCATCAGAACTTGATGATCCCGAAGTGCCTTTCATATCTAAATCACTATTTGGAGAACGAAACCTTAGATTGGGACTGCCAGGTGAAAGCGTAGCCTTGGGAACATTCAAGGTACCCGATGATTGACCATTTACTTCATTACATTCAGCTAGTATGTTCTCTTCACTTTTGGCTCTTCTGATTGGTGGCAACACCCCTACTTTTGTATTCCCTTCACTGACGCTCTGTTCAAACGGTATCTTTTTCCGAACTTCAGGAAATGCTTTGCCAGCTGTTTCTTTTTCGATTTGCATTTTCCTCTCGTATGACAAGTTTAATTCGTTCATTATACCAAAGTCACAGTTGGCAAGTTGAGTTAACCTTTTACAAACAACGTGAATAATCTATCAGAGAGAAAAGATTATTAGAAAAAAGTCCAGTTTGGTAAGAAGCTTCATTGATCTGATTCAACATCATTTTAACATCAATAATACGAGTAACAGTTTTTATTGTCACTATCTAATAGGATGCCATTCTCCCAAGCAAAATACTGCATGTCTAATGAATTGGGCCGAATTCACTCAAGTATATAGAATGAGCAGTCCACTGTGGGAAAACTCACAACCTCCCTAGTGAAAGGTGAACATGAAACCATTGTACCAGTTTCTAAAATATGCTACTCATATTCCTTAAGGACATCTACTTTAAGGACCATTCTGATATCAATGAAATCAGCTTGCAGTTCAATAACTCAAATATATTATTTGCTACTCATTATAAATTAGTAATTTTCAAAGCTTCACAGTTTTTTGTTCAGGAGGAATATATGATAGCATACCTTAGGTATATTTTTAAGCTCCCTAGCTTCATAGCCATGTAACATGTGCTTCTGACGTATTAAGTACTGATTCAATGTAAATGGATATGCACGAGTATCACTGAAATGAAAACAAGCCATGCATGGCACAGTCCCCGTTAGTTATCGAATTTAAGATATATAGTTTTGTTTATAGTAATATAGCTGGAACATAAACATGTCAAGAATATGATTATGGTGAATGTTTAACATTAAAATGATTGACATTTGTATCTGATCATCAAACGAGTATTGAGAAATATTGCTCTGGAACAGCATTAGTTGAAACAAAATCAGCCATTTTGAATACATGTATAATGAATATATAAAATTTGAACATAATCAGTCAAAGCATGTCAGAGATATGGCACTAAAGCTGCATTCATTGATACAAAATGGCCACCAGTCGGCTATTTTAAATCCGATCTGAAAAATAAAATGACGTGCATCAGGAACCCAATATTTTTAAATGTATGCACCAAGTTTAAACAAAATCTATCCATAAATGCCAGAAATGCTTGACATTTGATGATTTTTTAGCACAGAAATGGCCACCATTCGGCCATTTTGAATAGGATCATCAAACCAATACAGTCTAAGCAAGTTAGAGATATGGCACTAACAACCACATTCATTAAAACAAAATGGCTGCCAGTCGGCCATTTTGAATCTTACATGTATCTGAAAAACAAAATGATGTGCATCAAGGTCCTATATTGTCCAACGTATATACAAGGTTTGAACAAAATCCATCTGTAAACAGCCAGGAAATGCTTGATTTTGATGATTTTTTAGCACAAAAATGGCCACCATTCGGCCATTTTTAATAGGATCGCCAAACCAATATATCTGTATATATATGACATGATCTATAATAAATATTTAAAATTTGAACATAATCAATCAAAGCAAGTCAGAGATATGGCATTTTTAATCTTAAAAACAAAATGATGTGCATCAAGGTCCTATAATGTCTAACGTATATACCAATTTTGTACTAAATCCATCTGTAAACAGCGGAAAAAACCTTGATTTTTAGCACAAAAATGGCTGCCATTCGGCCATCTTGAATCAGATCGTGAAACAAATTGACGTGCATATGTATAATATCATGTGCGATGTATGTGTGAAGTTTGATTGTGCTTGGTC